CGGCGCCTCAAGGAGAGCTTCGAGAACTACCGCAGGTGGGCGGGCGGGCGGACGGGCGGGGCGGTCTGGCGCGGGCGCGGCCCACCAGCCGCACCTGCCTCACCTGCGGCGTCCCTCAGGAAGCGGGCGCTCAGGAAGATGCAGAACGGCTGGCGGCAGGGCGAGGGGGACCGCGGGAACACCACCGGCAGCGACAACACCGACACCGAGGGCTCCTAGTGCGCCGGGACCGTCGTGGGGCGGCACGCACTCCCCGCACCTGCAGCGGACTCCACGCCGTGGCTGACCTGGCCACAGCAAATGAGCTGGACTCCCCTCCGTGAGGCTGCCCGCGCACCTAATTTTTAAATGCGCCTCCTATTGTTACTGTACACTACCCTTGCTTGTGGAAATACCGGAAAGTGCAGTCAATAAAAATAACCCGGGAGCGTGCAGACTCGCGCCATTAGAGCCCGCGCCGGCAGGGCGGTGAGCGGACGCAGCGCGCGCAGGGCGGCACCAGGGGGCAGCAGCGCGCGGCCCGCCGGGCCGGGGGCGGAAGCTAAGGAGGGCCACGTCCGCCCCGGTGCCCACTTCCAACATGGCGGAAGCGGCCTCAGCGGCGCGGGGCGGGGTTGGAAAGAGCGGCGAGGGCGGTGGGGCAGAATGTTGCGGACGGTGATGGGCTGTATGCCGATGCTGCTGAGAGAGAGACCCCGGGGACCTGTCCTGAGGTGCCTGTGGGGCTGCAGGACCCGCCCGGAGGCCGCAGGAAAGCGGCGGGCCTGGCCCTCGGGTTGGCGGTTCTCGAGTTCCGGGTCGGGGCCCGCGGCGGTGCTGGGACGAGTGGAAACGGCGCATTACCAGCTGGTCTACACCTGCAAAGTGAGCACACAGGCGGGGAAGACGGACCGCCCTTGCCGCTAGAGGGCGCCAAGAGGAGAGGCTGCTAGGGGCGGGGCCTTCCAGGGGGCGGAGCCTTCTCGAGGGGCGGGGCCTTTCCGGGGGGCGGAGCACTCCTGAGGGGCGGGGCCTTCCCCGGGAGTCTAGTTGCTGGCCTGATGCTGGCCTGATGCTGCCCTGCTCCAGCCAGGTCTGTGGAACAAGGTCCTCTAAGTGCATCTCGAAGCTGGCCTATCACCAGGGCGTGGTCATTGTGACCTGCCCTGGCTGCCAGAGCCACCACATCATCGCAGACAACCTGGGCTGGTTTTCTGACTTGGATGGGAAGAGGTGAGGACACCTGGACTGGGGGGGGGGGCGCGGGGAGAAGGGGGACACTGGTGGCCTGAGCCTGGGGCCTGGGTGAGGAGCCCTCCCAGCAGCACACACCTGGCCACCTGGCCTCCCTGGGGAGCCCCTGCCTGGTGGTTTCTAGATCCCCTCAGCAGCCCAGTTTCCTTGTCTGTGCAGAGGTGCAGGTAAATCTGAACTTCAGGTGGACCATGGATAGCCTTTGCCATCACTGTGCTACCCCAAATACAGCAGCTGCCAGTCAGGCCACCTGGGTGGCGCCTGGGGCTCCGCCTCACTGACCAACCTCCGTCCTCTTTGATGGCCTTGCCACTTTCTGGTGTGGAACTTTCTTGTCCTCTGCCAATTTGTGCGCCTGGTCTGCAGCAGCTGGGAGATGTGTGTCAGGCGGTGTGGACTGGCCCTGGCCTGAGGGTCCTGCTCAGAGGCCAGGCTGGCACCCCTGTCTGGGGAGCCGAAGGCTGTGCATTCTGACTTCTGAGCTCTGTATTCTCACATGAGGGAGGGTCGTTGACAGCAGAGTCTGGAAGACCTGTGGTGACTTCCACAGAGTGACCCTGCAAGGTCAGCACACCAGGCACTGGGCTGTCCTCCCATAAGACATCACCAAGTAGAGAAGGGGCATGGGCAGGACTGCTGGGGACTGGTCTCTCCGAGAGATGAGGTGGTCCCTTGGCTCCTGAGGTGGCACTTGCTGGCAGCCGTGGGTCGTGAAAATGTGTGAGGTGCCTCTATGGCCCGGATGCTGCTGCGTGCTGGGCACCACGCCTGGATCGAGCTGGCCAGGGTGTGCCCTGCAGGGAGCCAGGTACAGGAGTGACATCCCCCACTCCTGCCTCATAGGAATATTGAAGAGATCCTGGCATCCAGAGGGGAGAAGGTGCGCAGAGTGGCTGGCCAGGGTGCCCTGGAACTGATTTTGGAGGCTGCAGGGACCCCCAACCCCCCTGCTGCCCCAGAAGAGGGTGAAGGCGAGGATCCCGCCCACCCAGGCAAGACGGAGCAGAGCTGACTCACATGGGACTTCTGCCCTCCAGGAAGATACTTCCTTCAGCCCAGACCTCCCGGACTGGCCTGTCCCCTGTCAGTAAACAGACGTTGCCTGTAGCTCTCTTGTCTTTCTTTTATTGGAGTCAGAATTACTCCCATGAGCCCCCGGTGCTGGAGGACCCCAGGCTCACCACCATCCATCCTGCAGAGGAGTTACCTGTACTAGCCCACCACAGGGCCACGTTCAGGTGGGCAGGGACTGGACATAAAGTCAGAGCACACGTGGCCCTGCCCGTCTGAGCATCCTGTCACTTGCTGTCCCCTGGGACAACGCTGGTGGCTCCCCTCCATGAGCCAGGGCTGACCTCAGTCCTGAGCCTTGGCCGTAGCAAACCAGGCTGCTCATGGTGGCTGTAGCCAGGATGGGCGCTGGGCTGGGAGCTTGGAACGGAGTGCAAGCCAGGCGGAGGGTCCTCTAGGGGCTACCCGGCCTTGCCATACCGCCTGGCAGGTTGGGGTCTCAGACACGTGGGGGACAGCAGGAGCCCCGTGCCCTTCCTGCACACGTGTGGCTTGTCTCGGCTTTGTTTGACTGCTCAGGATGTTCCTGTTTGGGAAGCGAGCAGACGCAAGAGCAGTCTTGGAGAAACATTCTGGCTGCGTGACCTCCACTATCAATCACCAGCCTCGTCTGGCAAGCAGAGGCTGGGGACCTGGTGGGTGCAGAGGGCTGAGCCCAGCTCCTCGGGGACACGCTGTGTGGGAACCTGAGCTGGTGATTAGAAGCTCACGCCTCACCCGTGGGAGGCTGGGTGCATCTGCTTCGTGTGCCCTGGCTCGATTACCCCCATCCTTCTCCTGGCAGACAACCTGCTATTAGGCCCACCAGAGCCTCCTGGGCCATTTGTGGAACCTGTCATCGCCCTCAAGGCTGAGCCAGCCCCACCCCAGCCTGCCCTTCTGTGGAGGGCACTGAGGTTGTAGGGACCAGAGGGGGCTTCCCGGAGGCCTTGAAGTGCGGGAAGCCGCCCCCGGAGATGCAGACCAGTGTTTGGGAAGGCTCCAGTGCTGGCCACACACAGCTGTAGAGCTGGATCTAGAAAACCTGCTCCTGCGGGAAACCGAGGCCCGTAGCATGCACTTGTGTATTCACTGTGCCTTTTCTGTGCTGATGCTTTGGCCTCTGGGCCTCACTGTCCCTGGAGGGCCCACCCCCACTGGACAGCAAAGGCTGTGAACCCTGCTTCCCATGTGCTGAGTGGTCTGTGCAGAGCCCACTCCCCATCCTCCTTGACGGGCTTGCACCTGGGCCATCGTGCTGGACCCTCGTCACCCTGGGCCAGGTATCGGCCAACTGGGCAACCTGTGTGCCCAGAGCCCGCCAGAATTCTCCAAGCAAGCCAAGCCTAAGCTGGTTACCCCTCGTCCCTCCTCCCCACGGAAACACATCAGAGGCCCTGCCCGTACCACTCTGCCTTGACCGACCAGTGCTTCCCACGTGGCGTGGCGTGGCATGACCGACCGCATCCTTTCTATGGCAACCTCCTGCTGTCAGCCTCTACACATGAGCAAAAAATGGAGCCTGTTGGGAAGTGGCTGGGGACTCAAGACAGCCGCAGAGCCTCCTCTGGAGGACACACAAGCGCCAGGCCAGCTGGGTCCTGCGGTCAGGGAAGTGCCCGGCCACACTGCAATCACAGTTATTTTTTCAGGTCTTGGCCTTCGCAAGCCCAGCGAGCCACCCAGGACTGTGGGCCTCTGAGAGATGACAGGCCCAGTGGGGCCACCGCACCCTTAGTGAGCTGCCTCTCATCACAGCATCCCCGTGCCCCACGGGCGCCTCTCCCTGCTGTGGCCACCTCGCCTTTTCTCCTTTTCTCCCTCGGGAGGAACAGTGGTGACCCCCTGCTTACTGAGACTGCACCCCGCCAGATCCTGCCTCCAAACCTCCGGGCCAGCTCTTCCCTGCTAGCCTGGGGGAACCATGGCCAGTCCGCCCCTCCCAGCCCTCGGGATGTCAGGCCTTCTGTGGTCCAGGCGGGTGTGTGGGGGAAAGAAGTCCCATAGTCCAGGCTGGTCCTGGCAGCACAGTGGGCACTGGGAGTGGCCACCCCCTCTGGTCACTTCCCGTCCCATTTAGAGGGCCGATTTTCTCTGCCAGCCCCTGCCCACCTCCCCTAGACAGCAGGGGAGCCTGAGCTGTCTGACTGGCTCGTCTCCTGGGTGGGGACCCGATGCGGGCTCGAGATGGCCTGGCCTGGGCCTGTGGTGCTGAGGGCTTTGAGAGACTGTGCCAGGTCTTTAGGACCCACAGGAGCTTCCTGGTGGGACGTGAGCACCGCTGTGGATGCCTGTGCCCAGCTGCCGCCCCTGCTGCCAGCCCTGGACGGGGCCCTGTGGGGTGCCCACGGCCCGCACACCCAGCATGCTGCAGGTGCTCTCGGGGAGTCGGACCTGCCTGACTGGGATCCTGTGGTTGGGGAGGAGTCTGCATGGCAGCCACAGGGGCTGCCCAGGGGGGAGGGCTGCTCTCAAGGGCCACCCCCGAGGTGCCTGGCTGAGCTCCCAGCTTGCCCACCCTGGGAAGCACCCTGGGGGCCCTGCCCGGGGACATGGACACAGTGCAGGGGGACTGCTTAACCTGAGCCCAGCCTTCCATCGTCAGTGGCAGCAGGGACCGGCCCCAGATGCCTATGGGTGTTCGGGGCAGGGGCTGGGTGGTGGTGGGTGCTCTGCACATGTCCAGTGGGCCCAGCCCCAGGAAGGCCCACCGCTGCTTCTGACAGAGACGGCACTTGCCTGGCACACTTTATTTCTCAAGGGTGGATGGGGGGCTGGGGGGGGGACGTACCTCTCGGGCTGGAAAGGACCCGCTGACAACACAGCAGAAGTGTGAGCAATAAATACGCACGTACATTCAAGTATGAGGGCTCATCCCCAGAGGCCCGCCTCAGAGTGGTCCCCCGCGGAGCCCAGGGTCAGCCCTCCAGCTGGTCCCCTGCCTAGTGCCCAGGCTGTGACATGGGTGGGCACAGGCCCTCCCCAGGCTTGGGGAGGCATCTGGGAGGACTGCTGCCTTCCCTGGTGTCTGTGAAGGTCACAGGCAGCCCCCGGACTGGTTCAGAAGGGCTGCCCACAGGTGGCGGCCGAGGCCTGTCCAGCAGGGGTTCCATCAGCGCCTGCCCTGCTCTGGGGGTTGGGGGTTGGTGCCCTGTGAGCCAACTCCAATGTGTGGGGGGCTTTTCGCCCCGGGAAGGGGCTGCGTCATCACCCCCAGATGGCGAGGTGAGGGTGCCGTCGCCCACTGAGCTTGGTGCCATCCTAGGCCCAGGCCCCGTCTGTGTTGCTGGCCCGGGGCTCTAAGGCTTGGGGTTTGGGAATGGGTGTTCCTGCCCACCCTTCCCTCTGCTGTGGAGCCAAGGCTGAGCCCTTGGATCCCTGTGGGCTCAGGGCCGCCTGCCAGGGCCAGGGACTGTGGGTGGCCCTGGACTGGGCTCTCTGTGACTGCCAACCACAAGGTTATAAGGGGAGACAGGCCCCAGGAAAGGGGTCCTGCCCTGGGGAGTGTTGTCCCCTGCATGGCTACCCCAGGACCAGCTGGGGGACAGAACATGCCTGTGTCCTGACAGCCCCCAGAGAAGACCCCTCTGGGGGCTTGGGAGATGGCCAACTTCACATTTGGCAGGGCTGGACAGTGCCCTGGAGGGGAGGGTCAAGAAGCACCAGGTCTGGGGGCGACATGCTGAAGGCCCAGCCCGGGCAGAGGCAGAGCCAGACCTGCAGGAAGCCAAGGACCGTGGACAGAGGCATGCCCCACCCACATGGCACCTCTGGTCTGCGCCTGCTGCCCTGGGGAGGGGTGTGCCGTGGGCGTGTGCCCATGTCAGCTCAGTGGAAAGGGCTGGGGGCTCAGAGCTGGGGCTCAGCCATGGCTTTGGGAGGATCCAGCATCTTGGGGGCCATGGCCGTTGTGGACAGTCGTGAGCTCCCAGCGTGCAGGAGCAGGTGCCCGCAGGTCTGGCTGTGGCAGGCAGCCTTAGCTGGCCCCAGGTTGGCACTGCTGCCGGGACTCAGGTGGCCCACTGGGCTCCTGCTCTGGGCTCCCAGCGAGGTCCACGCGCTGTTCGTCCATCCGCTTGGCCTGGACCCTCTGGATGAGGCTGAAGAAGTCCTCGTCTGGCATGGTGGGACCTCGGGGCAGCACATCAGGTGGCGGGCAGCGCTGGTCATCGATCCTGGAGGACTGGACAGACACACATGCAGGTTGGTGGTCTTGCCCTCCCCAGGCCCTGGGAGGGGGGCCTGTCCCAACACCCCGAGGTCGGCAGACTTGCCAAAGTCAGAGGCAGTAGGCACTGGCTCAGAGGCCATCTCAGGCCTCCATGTCCACCTGGGAAATTAGCTGAGGGCTTGCCTGGCTCTGGGGTTGTGCTGGGATCCCTGATGTGGACGAGTCTCCTGGGGCTGTGTGCCCCGAGCCTGGGGCTGGCCTGCCCAGCAAAGCAGGCTGAACAATACTTGGGGCTTGGAGTGACCAGGCCCAGGAGATAGCTGCTAGGTGGCCCCAAGGCCTGCACCCAAGACTTCCTGACCCCCAGGGACTGACCATGGTGTGGCATCCCTCAGCACTGCCCTGGAACCTGGGTTAGCCCTGGACTGACCCCAGCGGGCCTCTGGGGTGGGGTTCCAGGGCCTGCAGCATGGCGCTCCTTCAGGATCCCCCTGGGGGTGGGTGACTGGCCCCGTGGGCCCCACCCGCCCTGGCATGGAGAATGGTCGGCTGGAGGGGCATCTGAGCTTCTCTGCAGGGTCTGGAGAAGAAGGGACGGGAGCCGGCGGAGCATGCATGCGAGAGGGTAGGGGGCTCTGGGCTTCCGAGGAGGGGCTGGCTTGGAGGCGGCTCCTGGCCCACCGCCATGGTGGTGTCCCCTCTGTGGGAATGGACATCAGATCTGGAAACCTGCCGGCCAGGTGCGGGGGCGGCACATCTGTTGCCCCACCCCTGGCCATTTTCCAGAGTCTTTCTGACCTGGAGACCCCAAAACCCCAATCACTGTGCCAGGCCCAGCCGAAGGGCAGGTAGACACACGGGTGAGCCTCCCGCTCACAGCCGTGTCCTGCCATCTCCGTGCTGGTGAGGCGGCCCACCTGGCCCATCCCGGGACTCGGCACTGACCTTGATGTCCACTGTGTGGTCCTGTCTAGCCCATCCCTGCTTGCATCCCACAGCTGGCCAGCAGCTGCAGGGGGGGCCCTTCATTTCCTCCACCCAGAGGTGGAGCTGAGGGAAGCCCTGAGGCCACATCCTGAGGCGCCTGGCAGTGCCCTGTCCCAGCCTGAGCCTGAGGGTGTCCCAGGCTGCTCTTCCCAGTGACTGTCATCCCCCTGCATGTGGAGGCTCCCAAGAAGGTGGGGTCCAGGGCAGAGCACTCTGGGCACCCAGTGGCACTGGCGACACAGCCTGCTCACCAGCCTGTGGCTCCCTCCCCTGGAGGGACCCCTCAGGGCTTGAGACAGGGGCCAGCCCACTGCAGGCCCCTAGGTGCAGAAGCCCTGACCCGGCTCTGGGCTGTGGCCCACCTGGTACTTGATGAGCATGTTGAAGAACTCGTCTCCCGGCTCCTGGGGGTCTCCGTCGCCACGGAGGTGCCCCACGTTGTTGTGGGTTATGCGCAGCCCAGGCAGGCTGCCCACACTGGCCCGCTGATCGTCCAGCCGGCGACTCTGAGAGCTGGCGATGAGGTCGAAGAACTCCTCCGTTTGGGGGGAGGCTGTCATCGAGGGCTGGGCTGCAAGGGGCAGAGGGTAAGGCCTGGGTGGGGGGTGGCAGCAGGGCCCGGTGCTGAGGCTGGGGCCCACTGCAGGGCCAGGCCTGACACTGGGGCTGGGGCTAGCAGGGGGCTCGGACCTCTGAGCCCAGCCGGCCTCCAGTGCCTGCCCTGGGGACAGGGCCCAGGGCTTCTGCTGGCTCACCCTGCTGCAGCTGCACCCGCCTCCAGGGCCTTCTAGGAGGTGACAGGAGAAAGCCTGGCCTCCCGCGCACTGCGAGGCTGCTGCTGCACCCTGACATGGCGCGCTCCAGAAGGGTGGGGTAATTACACGCTTCCTAGGATGCAGCTCTGGGGGCAAGTGCGGGGGGCGGGGGGAGCGCTCTGTAACTAAAGGGCATTTTGCAGCTGGCCTGTCCCACCCTTTGGGGCAAAGCACTTGGGCACTTTCTGGTCAGGACTGGGTCTGGCTGGAGACCCTGGCTGGCCTGGCAGCAGGTGCGTGGCTTAGGGAACACCCGCATGTAGGAAGGATGGAGGCCCAGGCACCTACACTCACCAACCCTCTCCTCCAGGGTGGGGGCAGCCGTGGCCTCTGCGGCCCCCGCCTGGCCCTCCTCCAGGGGACAGCGCTGGTCCTCCATGCGGCTGCTCTGGAACTTGCTCAGCAGGTCAAAGAAGCACTCCTCTTCCGACGACGAGGCCCGTGGGATGCTCTGGAGGGGCGCGGGGTCAGGGCAGCCCGGCCAGCCTGCCCTGCCTGCCACCCCACTTCTCTCCTCCTGTGGCGGCCACCCCAGGCCAGGCCCCCGTCATCTGCCCCACACGTCCTGCCCCTGCCCGTGCCCTGCCAGCCTTGGGCTGGGATGCTCCCATCTAACCCAGTTCACAGCTCCCACCTCCTGAAGGCCTCCCCACGCCCCACCCACGCTCCACCTGTGTCTGGCCCCCAGCATAGCACTCTCCAGTGTCTGCTGGATGAATGGACAGATGTGTGACCTGGCCATGACAGGCAGGGAGTTGACATGGCCACTAGACACATACTTCCAGTGGCAACCTGGCAATGATGGTTGATGGGGCCTGTCCTGGGCCCTGGGTGCCACAGAGGGTGGGGAGGTCCCAGGGCCTGCCACCTGTGGTAGGGAGGGCCAGTGGGAGCTCCTACACCTGCGGCCCGGCCCACCAGCCTCAGGGGATCTTCTTGGGCTGTAGGAGCCTGAACAGGAGGACCCAGGTCTGCCAAGATGTGGGCTGCTGAGTGCCAGACACAGCCAGAGCAGCCTCGAGGCAGGAGGCTGAGGCACAGAGGGGCTGTATGACATGTCCAAGGCTCCCCGTAGCAAGAGCAGAGCTGGAATTGGATACAGCAGCCCTGTGGACGGCCCTGTCTCAGGACTGGGGTCAGGACTCCAAAGGCAGAGGGGACCTTGCTGAGGGAGCCATGGGAAGGGGGCAGTCCTACTAGCATGAAGGAGAGCCCCACCTGTCTCCGGGCCTCAGGTTGACCCCCACCCCTTCACCCGACCTCTTGCCCGGCCCTGGGCTTTGTCCTCCCTTAGGCCTGAGCCCCTCCCCTGCCGAGCCAGGAGGGAAGGGAGAGTGGGTATGCAGGAGCTTAGGTGGCAGACCGCAGGCATGCCTGGGGCTCAAGGAGCCTGCCAGCCCAGGCAGATGGAGGTGGTGTGGACCAGAGCCTGCCTGACCGCTGGGCGTCGGGGGTGCTACACAGGTGCCTCCCCAGGAGGTGGGCTCCTGACCCAGAAGCACAGCCTGGGCTCCACGCCTGCTGCAGGGCTCTGGAGGGACAAGGCCCCTCACGCCTCAGGAGCATGAGAGGCCCACACGAGAGTCCCAGCAGGACATACTCAGGAACGTGGGAGCCCACCCCCAGGTCCCAGCCTCTCCTGCCCCCCCACCTCTCCCTGCCCCCCACCTCTCCTTGCCCCCCAGCCCTTCCCACGTGAGGTTCTGCATTCCTCCCTGCATCCCGCTGCTTTAGTGGAAGAGTCAGACCTGGTCAGGTCCGCCCACTCCCGGCTAACAGAGGCCCCTGTGCTCCCCTGCCTCTGCTGCTGCAGGGACACCAGGGACCCCACACTCACGCTGATCACAGGTGCCGCCGGCAGCAGCAGCCAGGAGCTGTGTGGGGTGCCTGCATGTGCAGCACCTCCCGCCCGAAGCACCAAGTGTCGCCTCACTGCTGCCGGGACCCGGGGGCTCACCCGGTACTTAAATAGGACTAGGGTGAGGCTCAGCCTCCCAGAGCCCGCCCTCCCGAGCTCACTCGCTCGCACAGCGTGCACGACACACACACACACACACACACACACCACGCTCTGCTCCGTAAACACTGAGGTGGATTCCCTGAGCTCAGCAGAGCGCTCCCTGGCTCCTGTGGGCGGTCATGCTAGAGGGCTGTGGGGGTGGACAGTTTATTTGAAAGCCCTTTTCCCACCCGATACCAAGGCCCCTGGGCTTCCTTCCAAAGCTGGGCCACCTCTTCCTTCAGCAGGTCCCCAGGCAGCCCTCAGCCTGGCAGTGTGGCCTGGCTTCCACCCCAGCTGGGCTGGCGCCCTGGTGGCCGTGGCCCTGGCTCCTGTGGGCAGCCCCAGCCGGCCTCAGCTGCATTTGCTGTGGCCTTACTCTAGGCACAGGAGGTGCCTCCAGGTCCCCAGTGTCCCTACACAGTCTCCCCATGACAGAGGCGGAGCCCGGATGGAGTAGTGGCTCTCGGCACCTGAAGGAAGTGGGGGCCCTGGCAGTCTCCAGCCGCGAGGCACTGAGGACACCCAGCACCCTCGCGCCCTCGGCAGGCCAGAAGGGTGCTGATCAGGCTGGGGAAGGGCTATTTTTAGACTATTTTCTAGCTGGTTTGATGCAGATGTCCCGGGAGGGGCTCCAGGCTGGCCTCTGACCGGACTCCACCTCGGCCCCCATCAGTGCCCTCCTGCCTGGAGAGGCCTGCCAAGCCCTGGGGACAGGGGAACTACAGGCAGCAGGAGGCTAGGCCTCCAGCCTACACCTGCCTGACCGCCTCTCTGACCCCACTGCCCATCCACACGCCTGGCCATCAGCCCACCCAGCCCTCCCTCTATAAGTTGCAACAAGAGCTGACTGGGGCCAGTGCAGGGTGGAGTGGGGTCTCCTGGACCCTGACCAGGAGGAACCCTGGGTAGATGCCAGCTTCCCACTGTGCCCTCCTTCTGGGGGGAACATGCTCGTGTGACTCATGGGAGAGGGGCAGCCAGAGCACCCCTGGACTGGATGCCCTGAGGCCAGGCGTGATGCTAGATACTGCCCTCCCCTGAGCACCCCTAGGGTTGCAGGGGTGGCATGGAGCCAGGAGGAGGGCCAGGATGCCCACCAGGACCTGTCTTCCCAGCGTGACCAGGCTGGCTGTGCCTCCTGGTCTGTGGGGCACCTACCGTGTGAGGTACCTGCACTCGGACGTCCGCACTGTCCAGTGGGGAGTGGCTGCCTCCCCGGGGCCTCCTCTCAGCAGTGTCTGGCCCTTCCTGGTACTTCCTGCTCCTCATGGGGAGAGGGAGTGAGTCCCTGCCTGGCCCCCGCCAGTCCCCTGCATGGTGGGTGTCTCCATTCTGCTCCTGGGGAGGGGAGGCAGGCCAGGTATGGGTGGGGCCATTCTGGGCCAATGTCCACCACCTCGGGACCCTGCAGGGAATGCCAGGAGGGTGCAGTAGACCCCACTTCCTGGGTGCACGCAGTAGGCACCAGGTATCCTGAAGGAGGAGGAAGCTGGCAGGGCCTGGGTGGGGCAGGGAGACTCATAAATGTCAGCCTTCCCACTAGCCAATGACAGTGGCCATGGCGTCCCTGTGTCCTGACCCCATGCCAGGCCCCAAGGGCCATCCACAAGCGAACCACGTTACACTAGAGAAACAGGAGGCTCAAAGGGGTTGAGGCCCTGCAAGAGCCTCAAGGCACCCACACCTGGGACCCCAGGTTGTGTCTGGGGTTCAGTGAACCCTGCCAGCTTTTCACCTTGGACAGAGTCTGAGTGGGCAGGGACAGAAGAGTCCAGGGGCTCACCAGGACTGGGATCCAGAGGCTTGGTGGGGGCACTTGGAAGGACCAGGCCTGCCCCTAGGCCCACAGCAGGCAAGAGGGAGGAGCAGGGCCTCCGGGGGCCGGTGGCAGATGGGCTAGTGAAGGCCTCAGACTGTGGGGGCACATTTATCTCCCAGTGGCTGGGCTGAGCCTGGTGGTGGCAGCTTGACAAACACGGCTCCCCAGGCTCATTAACCTGCTGCCCACACACTGGCCGTACCTCTGCTGATGTCCATCCCCAGGCCCCCCAACCCCCACCAAGCCTGGCTCACCCGTTCCAGGGGGAGTCTCAGCAGGTCCCAGGTCTCTGCACTCAACCTCTGGGTCCTCTTGGGCCTGGCCCCTGGAAGACAGTGGTGCCTGTTCAGCTCACGAAGCCAAATGGCCCAGGCCAGCGCCCTTGGGGACTGAGGATTGGGTAGCACGGCACCCTGCTTTCCAACCACACAGTCCCCTCATGGGCACACTGACACACTCCAGCCAGGTGGGGGCGCCGGGGGTCTGGGCCTGCCCGGGCTCAGGGTGGGCTGGCATTGGTGCTCCCCAGACTTTCCCCAAGGATCTGGACGAGGCCCTCTGCCCACCGCCCGGAATGCCCTTCCACCATCAATGAAGCCCACAGGCTCCATTCAGCGGCTTCCTCTGAAGCCCCCTCACACTCTGGCCTGGGGGCAGGTGGCGCTTCTGGGTTCGTTCGAGTTTACTGTGGACAACCCAAGCCAGGGCTGGGGTGACCAAGGCATCAGATGAGCCCCAAGTCAGTCCCATGCAGGGCCTTTCCCTAGGTTCCTTGGCCCCTGGAGGAATGACTCTGAACCTGGGTACTTGGCAGCTGCTGGCGGGCAGGGCAAGAAGATGAGCCATAGGAACCCATGTCCTCCCAAGAGCAGCTACATATCCCAAGACTGCCCAGCTGCAGACTCTGTGGTCACCATCCTGCCAAGGGGCCCTGGGCTGGCCTGCAGCTAGACTGCCCCCAGGCCTCTGTCTCAAACATGTCCCTGAGTGGGGGCAAGGTGCAGTTCAGTCCTGGGTGCAGTTCAGTCCTGGATCCAGTTACGGCCCTGTCCCAGCACAGGGACAAAAGTGAGTCTGGCCTTGGGCGGCTACTCACTGAACACCTGCAGGACAGAGCCAGCCAGGGAGAGCTAGCCTGGAGGCCCGTCCATGCAGGGAAGGTTGACCAGAAGAAAGGCGACAGCACAGCATGAAGTTGGAGTGCAGAGAGCCCCCAGGCCAAGCCAGGTGAGCCTTGCAGGGAGGACCAGTGGGGCTGGGCTGGCAGGGACCAAGGGTTGGCACTGGACCCTCTGAGGAGGTGGCATGTGAGATGGGGGGGTGCAGCCAGCCATGGAAAGGCTGGGGACAAGAGAGGAAGAACCTGGTAATGTGGGCACCTCAGCCTCTGTCCACCCCCACATGCCCTTGCACCTCTCCAAGGACACTGCCCTGCCAGGAATGGGTGGGCCTTCTCTCCTGGCCTGGCAGACCCTCACCAGACCCTTCACCCCAGTCCTCCTGGGACCCAAGCACCCCGCACCCGCGGACACATGCTAGACACAGCTCATCTCATGGTGGCGTGCGCCCATGGCCAGGGCTCGCGAGGTAGGACCTGTGGATGGGTGGAGGTGCTGCTGGCATCAGTGGACACTCAGAGCCATCCTGGCACTGCCCACATGGGGCTCACCCCATAAAGCAGCCTGTGGATGTCTGCAGCAGGCAAGGGTGGGAGCTGGATGGCCAGACACCCTCCTGTCCAGGCCACCACTGAGCCAGAGAGCAAAACAGCCAGGGCCTGTGGGCACATCCAGTGGACAGTAGGAAGGTGCGCCAGCTCATGGCAGTCACATGGTGCCCAGGAGCACCTGGGCCTGGGGGACAGGGCTGGAGCACAGCTACCCATCCCAGCCTCTCCAGCACAGCTAGGCCACCCGCCAACATCTCCCCCAAGGCTTAATCATGGACCTGGGCCAGACATCATCAAAGGGTGAGGCAACAGGCCATCATGCTGCACAGCGTACCTAGGTCTCTCCAGTCCCCAGACGCCCCTGCAGAGGAGAGCAGGGGTGTCGTGTGGGCTGTTGGCTGCCACCCTGCAGAGTCCATGCCTCTGCCCCTAACTGGGGAGGGATCTGCCTCCACTCAGAAAGGGGCAATGCCGAGGACTCGCAGAGTGTGAACGTCCAGAGGCTGCAGATGTGCCCAGGAGGATGCTGGTGGGCAGCAGATGTTACCCTAGTGGCCCAGTGTACCAGCTACCAGCACCCCCAAGCCTGTCCATGGCACTGTCTGATGGTGGGTTCCTAAAAATGGTCAGGGTGGAGAGGACAAGCAGAGGGAGCCAAGGACTTTGGGGACCCAAGCTGGTCCCTCCACAGCAAATGTCCAGTTGTCCTATGAGCCAGTGGCCCAGAGCATCTGCAGCAGGTGGAGGAGGAGAGGCAGGGGAGGCACCTGAGCACCCCCAGGCTCTGAGGAAACCCCTCCCCGGGCAGACACTGATCCAGAGGGCACTGTCTTGCAGGAGCCTATTGAGGGATCTGGCCAGGAGGCCAGAAGCCAGCCCCTGAATATGCCAACATGGCCCTGGGCATCCAGGGCCACCCCTGAGCCAGAGAGCAACGCAGCCAGGGCCTGTGGGCACATCCAGTGGACAGCAGGATGTGCCCCCTACCCCCAACACCAGGGCCCTAGAGCAGGGCTCCTGCCCTAGCCCTTGGCAGTGGTGGCCAGGGTCCTTCCTCTGCCCCTGGAAACAGCCTGGCTGCTGGCTTCTCTCACCCTGGACACTGAGGCACTGGAAGAATGTGGCAGTTCTGCTGAGGGGACAGGAAGGGGCGGGGTCAGGGTTCCTGCTGCCTGAAGAGCTGTTGGTGCCCACCCACCCCCAGATGAGGAAGGCTGGTCTGAGACAGAAATGGAGACAGTCCAAAGCCACGTGGAGCTGGGGGGCAGGCATGCCATGGGAGGGCCCAGGAGTCCTTAGAGAGTTGGGAGGCCCCTTACCACACCCAGTGACAACCTGGCTCCACCTCTCTCTGATGCTCCCTGGAGCTCGGGAACAAGATGCGGTTTCCCCACCTTGTCTGCAGGACCCTGCAGCTGCTCTGGGCCACCTGGCCCTCTACCAGGAGTGGTCTGGGCAGGCTCTGGCTAGCAGAGGTGGAGGTGCCTGGTGGGTCTCTTACAGCAGGCCGCGTGGGCGGGAGGCCCTCTGGGCCCAGCTGAATGGACCCTCTGTCTGGATTCTGAGAGGTCCTGAATCCAGCCACCTCCAACAGCTGCATGCCTTTGGCTGAGCTGCCTGACCAGGGGCCTCAGGCCCTGACACCCCCTGCTGCGTGTGCAACTTCCTGCCCCTCCCCTGCCAGAGTCTGACCTGCACACTGTCATCATCATTTCTGTGCAGAGCAGCTATGTCCAAGGGCTGTCCCTGGGCACCTCCCACCCCAGCAGCCTACCCTGCCTGCTGACGGCAACTCGGATGGTCCAAATCCCAGTATTTCCTCTTATCAGCCAGAATCTGACCCCTTCTCAGCCCGCTGGGACCTGTGTCTGTCCCCTGCCTGCTACTGCACCCAGCTTGCCCCTCTAGTGCCTTTTCCATGAAGGTCTGGAGACAGACCCGGGCCTTGTTGGGCTACCACCTTGCCCTCTGGCCACAGAAGTGGTCTATGGCTGTTGGCTCACAAGGTGTCCCCCAGAGATGCTGGGCAGGGGCAGCTGCGTGTAGGGAGGAGCAGAACTGCACGCAGACTCAAGGACAGCAAGTTTTTTTCTCCAGCTGCACAGAAGCCCCCGTTTGTATCAAGCCAGAAAACCCACTGGGTCCTGGATGCCTGCTCTCCACTAGCTGCCCAGCCCACCTACCACAGGGAGGCGACCTCCTGCCCAGCACAAGCCCACGCCCACCCCCCCACAGGGTGAGCTACGCCCATCCACACCCAGGCACTGCAGGGCCCGGCCCACTCCCTGTGCTGGCTCCCTGCGGCCCCTCCCGCCTCCTTCCTCCCCTGTGAATTCCCCTCACCCTCTCTCCCCAGGAGGCCCTCCTCCACCCTACTGGGTTTGTCTCCCAGGTGCCCTTCTGGCCCCCCGTGTTCCAAACCACACTGACTGTCTCTGGATATGCACCTGCCCAGCCCCAGCCCCACTGGACAGTTTCTGGAAGCCAGGGCCAGCCCACCCCCAGCACTAAGTCCAGATGAATGAAGTAAATGAACCATGTCAGCCTCGCAAAAGCCTTTCAACCCCTCCCTCCACCCCAGCACAGGGTCCAGACCAGTGTGGCCTCCAACGCCCCCACGGCCAAGCTCACCTGTGTGGGGGGCTCCCTCGGGGCCACCCCGACCCTCAGGGTACAGGCCTGCCTTCAACAGCTGCATGCTGGGGCCGGACGGACCCAGGCCTAGGGCAGCCACTCTGGAGCACAGACCTCATTCCCACCGTGATCCCGGCATGGATGTCCCCAGCTCCACTGCAGCCTGGCCACTGGCAGCCTGGCAGAAGGAGGCTTCTGGGGGCCCCCAGGCTGGGAAGGTCCAGCACACAGCAGAGCAGAGGAGCCAGTGTGGAGGACAGACGCCTCCTTGTGCTGGGGCATTCACCCATGACACGCCCCCATTCCTTGGCTCAGAGGAAAGCTGCAGGAGGACATGGAGCTGGCAGCCTGTGGGCACCTTCCCAGAAGCTGCCAACCCTGCCCCGACCTGCTGCGGGGGGCTCCTGGAGGGCAGTCGCTCTGGCCAGGGGACACGAGGTGGGGACTCTGACAGAAACTCTCTCGGCAGAGCTACCCACCCTCAGAAAATCTCAGCCACAGGCACCAGGGGCCACATGGTGGCACATATCCCCTCTGGGGATCCTGAGGCTGCTGCAGGTGGGTGCCCTCAAAGCATAGCCAAACAGGGCCTGAGGTGGGATTCCTGGAGCTGGGGCCAGGTGAGCCGGGGCCAGGTGAGCCGGGGCAGCTGGCCCCCAGCTCAGTCTCCCCATCCCCTGCAGGTGGTCTCAGGGAGCCAGGCAGCACCCACCTCACCAGCCCTTCCCTCCTGTGTACGAATCTATTTGCTTTGCAGAGAACAATCTGTCCTTGTGAGTGCACACTGCTGACCTGCACAGGATGGCCAGCAGTCTGTGAATAAAGCCATTAGAGTGGCCTTGGCCTGCTTGGGCCTCACCTGATTGGAACTCCACGCAGACAGGCTCCCTTGAGCCCAGCCTACTTGTCAGGTGACCTGACACCCCCTTCCCAGAATGCCCTCCCTGGCCATCCTGATGATGGGCACTGACCCCTTGGACTGCTCTGGGAAGGCGGGTAGGTGGGTGGGGAAGCCCTGGAGCTGGGGGCAGTGAGTGGCCCTCTCCTGTCTTTCCTGCCATTGGTCCCATGTGCTCCATGATTGTGATGGAAGGGGCTCAGGATGACTGCTGGCCTTTACTGCCCCAGGCCTCCAGCTGTCCACTACTGCTCTGCCTGTGCTGTCCCTGCCTCCTGCCTGCCCATGTCTGTCCCACCTCTTTCAACGTCACCTGATCCCTGCTCTGCCCTGCCCCTACCCCAGCACCTGGAACACCCAGTCTCACCCTCTGCACACGATGTTTGTGCCACCCACTGTAAGCTCCCAAGAGCAGGGCAGGAGTCTCTCTCCTGATCCAGCACAAGGACTGACAGAGCAGGTGTGGGGATGTCAACATGCCCTGGGGACGGGATGAACAGCCCGAGTTGCCTCTTGGAGACTCTCCATCTCCGGGGGTTCCCTGCCTCCTGGGGCTCCTTGACTCTGGGGCTCCTGACTATGGGGGCTCCCTGCCTCTGGGGCTCTTTCCTTATATGACCACTGTTAACAGCCCCTCGACCTGGGAGGTACCCCCTCCTCGTTGCTTGGCCCCAGGCAGCCGGCCCTGTGCTCCCTGGGAGACTTGCTCCCAGTGACCCTGTCACACCCTGCACAGATACAACCCCACTGTGGCCCAGAGGTGAGAGCCCCTCATGAACAGGACCGCAGCCCAGGAACTCACCCTGTGCCTCATAGCCAGCCAGGTCAGGCTTCTCTGCAGCTGCTGGGCTGGTCAGTCTGCCCAGGGCCAGCTGCAGCTGAGCGACATTCATGCGGGCTGTAAGCTCCCCGTTGCGGTCCCCGATCTGCAGCAAGCAGGGGCAGGTGAGACTGGGCAGGGGACAGTGAGGAGCCCACCATACACCATCCCTGACTTCCTAGGCTGACCCCTGACCCTTGGGTCTCTGAGGGAACTGGGCCTCACTGTGGCCCTGGGAGTGGAGTCGGGCGTCTGTCCTTGGATGTCCCCAGCAGTCCCTAGTCACACCCCATAAGTGCTCAGAGGCTCAAACAGCCTGGTTTTGTGCCACGTGGTAGCTTCCTTCTTGGGCACCCTCTGGTGGGTGGTCAGCTTGGCCAGCCCCAGGGACCCTTGCACAAGGTTCCACAGGACCCTCCTGGGCATCTGCATTGCTCGGAAACAAGCCAGAGAGTGGGGCATGGGGACTCCTGCGTGGAGCTCAGAGGGCTCTGGAGCCCCCTGCCTGTGCTCTGGGGATGTCCGGGCAGGCCATGCTGGCCCCATAGAGAGGCTCTCCAGATTTCTGCTCTCACAGGGATCTCCTGTCCCTCCCCATGTACACCTGGGCACCCAGACTCCACCCACTCAGCGACTCCCACTTGGGGCTATGGTGGTCAGGCAGGCACTGGCCTATCTTCAGCCAGGGAGGCCGAGGGGTCACTAGTGACATCCCTCCCTGACACAGGAGGACTGTCCTGGGCGTCCTCTCCAAGGAGGAGGCGACTCGACTTCCAGGAAGGTGTCCAGCTGAGGGGCCCAGAGGAAGCCTCCAGGGGGCTGGCCTGGTGCCCTGGGCTCCTCCAGTGGTCACCCTCACCTCAGTGGTGGGCACAGGCATCCCCCTGGCCCACCCTGGCCAGTCTCCTCAGAGGTTGGGGTAGGGAAATCAACAGAAGGACCCAGTCATGGGTCCCCTGTGGGGAACAGTGACACTACAGGGGGAAAACAGGTCCCCTGCCCCCTCACTGCCCCCTGCCACACAGTCAAGCGGCCACCAGGCCTCTGAGGGACCTGGTAGCCGAGGAGGCTGCTGCAGACCTAGAACGACAGAAGGGGAAGTCCAGGAAGGACACCAGCACGCAGAGGTGCGCCTGGCCCTGCAGTCAGAGCAGGCCAGGCGACGCCTGAGGGCCCCGGATGCCCGCAGGAGCAGTGGCCCTGGGAGGGCAGGCCCACTCACCTCCTGGGAGATCTGCAGGTGCTTCTTGGCGAAGGTCAGGGCCTGTGCAGGGCTCCCCATGGACACGTACGTGTTGCCCAAACTCCAGCACGCACGGCCCTCGCCCACTCTGTGGAGGGAGAGAGTCCACACCTGCCCTCCCCAGGCCTGCCCCCATCCCAAGCCCCTGAGCCTGCTGACGGTCAGGGCCCCCTCATGTCAGCTGCCACAGCTAGAACCCCAGTCCCATGGGGCATGTCCCAAAGGTCCCTAGAGGCACTGACAGGGTAGTCGGACAGCACATCCTGGTCTGCAGTGACCCACAAATCCAGCCACCATCAGGGAGAAGCCCCAACCCACTGCGCCAGTTCCCCTTCCCCTTAAAAGCATGGACTCAGAGGCCCCAGTGTGGGAAGCAGCCTGCCCGAGAGCCTGCACTGCCTTCGGGGCGTTTCTGGCCCCTCAGCGTAGGAGGCAGGCGGGACCAGCGGGGTCAGGGAGCCTCCTGTGAGTGGCTTGCCCCATAATGGCAGGTGAGCCTTCCCCCCCCCCCCCAGGATCCCTCCACCCTGGGGTCATTTTCAAAACAAGGTGGAGGTAGCTGAGTGCAGGGCTTGAGGCATCCAGCAGCCCTTCACTGCCCCATAGGCACCACCTCTGGTTCCAGGCCACTGCTGTCCTCCATTGGTTTCCCTGGAGGAAAGCCTGGGGCCACTAGAAGGCAGCCAGTCCAGCAGCCCTGTGCCTCCGAGCCCTCTGTCCACCCGACCTGTGCCCAGGGCTGCATCTCAGGTGTCGTGTTCACACAGGTATTGTGGGGGGCAATGGGCCGGGCCATGGGGGAAGCCCACCAGTGTGTGCCAAGGGTCCCTGTGGGCGGCACTGCCCATGGCGGGAGTGGCTGAGGCCCAGGTGGGGCAGCCCCGCTTGGGGCCACACCACAGTCAGTGGTGCCCCAGGGGCTCAGGCTGAGCCATCTCTCCTCACCACCGCCCTCCCGCTCTCCCACCCCTCCCACCACGTCTGTGCGCACCTGTCACCAGGGCCCTCCCGCCCCTCCCACCACATCTGTGCGCACCTGTCAGCCAGCTCCTGGGCGATGAGCAGGTGCCTCAGGTGGTACTCGGCTGCCCGCTCATAGTCCTGCAGCAGCGTGTACGTGTTGCCCAGGCTGTAGCATGCCTGCGCCTCCACCGCCTGGTCCCTGAGCTGCCGGGACAGCTGCAGGGTCTTCCTGCGTGGGGTGGGGGTCAGCCTCCAGGAAGCAGGGCCCGTAGCATGTCACTTGGGGTTGACTATGGGCCTGGTCCTGATAACCAGCTCTACCTGGTGGCAACTACTCAGGCCAGAGGCAGAGGTGATGGCCCAGAGCTCTGGCACAAGCTGGGGAAACCGTGACCTTTATCTGCCTTTCCTGGAGCCCCCACCTGGCTCCTGGGGAAGCTGGGTGGTCTCACTCCCCACCTGGAGTCACCTCCTGGGCTGGTGTCCAGTTCTCCCAGGGACCTCCCTCTCCCTGGGGCTGGGGGGATTCCTACTTGTAGTACTCAGCGGCCACATCAAAACGTCCCAGGAAGATGTGGGCATTGCCTAGGTTGCTGTAGGCCCTCCTCTCAGCCGCCTTGTCCCCAAACTCCTTCGCGATGGCCAGGCGCTGTGGAGACAGACACAAGACCCAGGCTCGCAGAACAGCCTGGGATCTGAAGTAAGGCAGGTGTTGCCTCTCCTGCCCAGGGTCGCTGTCCATGTCTGTGTGTCCAGAGGAGCATCCAGGAACCCCAAGACGGAGCACAGGTGCCGGGGTGTGTGGGCACCCTGCCGTCCTGCTCTGCCCAGCTTGGAGACTGCCAGGAGGGCCCCTGGGGCCAAGTGGAGCCGGGCTCTGCTGCTGCAGCGGCCTCGCCCCATGTCCCCAGGCCCAGCTTACCTCCTTGTGGAAGGTTGTGGCCTCCGTGAAGTTCCCCAGCAGGTAGTGGGTGTTGCCCAGGTTGCCGTAAGCCCGGCCCTGGGCCGCCCGGTCACCCAGCTCCTTCACCAGTGACAGGTTCCTCCTAGGAGTGGAGTCTGTCTGAGTCTGTCCCTCCCAGCTGCAGGGAAATGGCCACACCCACCTCCCAGGTGAGAAGGTGCTGGGTGGCCCTCAGGGGTGTGCCATGGACACGGGCCATGGGCTCCTTGAGCTTTAGTGCAGGCCGAGCTCCAGGGCTGGGGGCTGGGTCAGTCCCGCCAGTCCCTGACAGGTGCAAGTGGAGGCCTGCTGGTGGGATAAGGCCAAGGGCTGCGAGCTGGGTGGGCTGTTCTGTGCCTGGGGCTGCTGCCCAGTCCAGTGTGCAGCACAAAGCTCAGGAAGCAGCAGGAAGCTGGACGTGCCCGCTGCCTGCCCCACTCACTCGTAGAAGGCGGAGGCCCTGCGCAGCGTCTCACGCACGTCCGGAGGCAGGTGCCCGGGGTCCTGAGCGGCGCTGCAGCACAGCTGCTTGCCCTTGGCGTGGTACACGTTGCCCATGTTGTACAGTGCTCTCGCCTCCCCGACCTGTGGACGACCCAGTGGGCAGTGCCCCGCTGTCCACCCAGCAGTTCCTGGCTGGGATGTCACCCCAAGTGTGTGCCAAGCCCACCAACAGCTGTTCTGGAGCCTTGAGGCAAGGACTCAGGGGACACCTACTCCAGCCACCCTGCCCCTAGCCTCAGTTTCCCCATCCGAACAAGAGGAACAGAAACACTTTTGTCGTAGAGTCGTGGGGGGAGACGGGCCAGGGATGGTCAGCCTCCTGCACCAGAGGCTGGGGTGACATCCAGGATGCCTGCCTCTCCTTTCAGAGCACCCCACTGGCGGGGCCCTACAAGGAGTGGCAGGGACACAGGCAGCGCTGGGGAGACGAGCAGAGAGCAGAACCCAGGCTGGGCCAGCTGTTGGGGAGGCCGAGCCTCACGGCAGGAGCTGGGGCAGCCCTGTTTCTGAGGGATCTGGACTCTCCCAAGTCCTTAGGGGTGTCTCTGCCTTCCCTCTTACGGGGGGACAGCTGAGTGGGGATGAGTGGTTCATTGCCTGACCATGCCTGGGTCTGGACCTAGGCCAGGGGGCAGGGGTGGGAGGAGCAGGTGGCCAAGGAAGCCACCCCTTCCCTCATCCCCTGCTCCTGGACCAAGCCCCTCCTCTGTCCCCTGCTCTTAAGCCAACCATCTACCTTGTCCCCCTGCTCCTGGGCAATGTCCAGGTGCCGCTGGCAGCAGACAACAGCCTCATCGAATCGGCCTAGGACCTTGAGGGTGTTGCCCAGGTTCCCACTGGCCTTGGCTTCCCCCATGCGGTCACCAATGGTCCTGGAAAGCAAAGGAGTGAGGATTGGTCAGGTCCCTGAGCCCAGCAGGAAGCCTGAGCAGGTGGCCAGGCCAGGCCAAGGGCACCAGCCTAGGGCTGACCAGGAGCCTGCGTCTCCTGGGTGAGGCTGGGCAGGGTCACTTCCTGTGCTGCCTGACCTGCTGGCCCCCAGCAGCCTGCAGAGCTGCCATGGTCCACAGGGAGCCCAGGGCCTGCCGTGGCCCCTGCAGGCCTCAGGCGGGGCTGGCAACAGGCACTGGCCTTGCCACGATGTCTGCAGCGAGCCTCTGCTGCACTAGACATCAGGACGTGGGTGCCCAGGCCGCTGGGGGTCCTGTGGGCAGGGCTGGTAGAGGAGGAGCTGCCCAGGTGCGAGGCAAGGTGGGTGCCAGGGACAGGCCACAAATGGGACACAGCACGTGTCGTACCCTCCGCACACACTGACACACGTCGCAGCTTGAGCACAGGCCCTGGGGGGACTGTAAGACCCCAGCCCCTTCCAGGGGTCCTGTCAAGGGCCCTCCCTAGGATAGGGCAGTGTGTGCCCGCCCTCCTGCCACCCCAGGGCAGGTGCGGCTGCCCCTTGGGCCTGTGTCCTGCAGGCACTCACCGGGCCAGCAGCAGGTCGTGTCTGTGGAACTGCAGCGCCCGGGCGTGCTCCTTCAGGTAGAAGTAGGCGTTGCCCAGCTGGCTGTAGATGGCGCTCAGCGTCTGCAGGTCCTCCGTGCCCACCTGCACAGCGGCCTCGAAGAAGGCCACGCCCGCCTTGAAGTCGCCTGCCTTGCACAGCCGCTCTCCCTCCAGGGCCAGCTCCAGGCACGAGGCCTCCATCCTGGGCAGAGGGCGGGGTCTCATGCGCAGCCATCCCTTGAGGACCCAAGCTCCTCCCTGGCCATGCCATGGAAGACGTGCCTCCGCGGGCTGTGGCAGGGCCACCCCGTGCTCGCACACACCTGGCAGCAGCACTGTCCCAGACCTGCCTTCCCGTGCAGCTTCCCTCACTGCCTGCCCTTGGCCACCAGGGCCGGGAGCACCACCTGGGGAAGGCATGGGGGCCTCAGTAGTCAGTGTTTGACTTGGCCGAGCTGCAGGGAGCTGGAGCAGACCCCACCTGCCACCTTCCACAGGTCTCAGCAGCACAGCTAAGGGTGCCAGGTGCCCCATGTTCCCAAGAGGCCCTGTGAGAGACCCCCCAATGCCCAGCAAGGGAAACTGAGGCCACAGGAGTAGAATCTGACCCAGCCCCTCCCCATCCTGCACACAGGGCAGGACATGCACCTTCCCAGTAGGAGCACATGCCGGGTCACTGCCAGCCCTCCAGCCTCCAGGGGAGAGCTCTGCTGAGGGTCACCCATCCTGAGACACCCAGAAGCACCACAGCTGCAGCTAGGGCAGGCCTGAGAAACAGCTGAGGAAGGGAGTGGACGCCGATGTGCCCCAGGGTGGACCTGGCCCCTCCAAACCATCCTAGCTTCCGACCATGAATCCTGCCCATGTCCAAGGGCCCAGGTCCCCTTAGTGAATGCCCACAACCAGCTGGAGGCTGGCAGAAGCCCTAAACTCACAGAGGAACACACAGCTCTCAGGCCTCTGGGGTGCTGTCTCAGGACACAGTTGTCAGGGGAGGAAGACAGGCTGGGGTCACTATCTGCCCCTCCCTGCTGCGGGGCCCTGGAGCTTCAGTCTGCCCTTCTGTCCTGCTTCGATTGGTCACGAGGGCCCAAAGCCTCTGCCCTGCCGGGGCTGGAAGGGTGTTAGCATGGGTGGAGGGCACAACAAGTGGACACTGGCCGGGGGTGACAGGAGGGTGGCCCCAGTGCCTAGGCAGGAGGACAAGGGGCACAAGAGGCAGAGGAGGAGGGAGCTACTGGGGAAAGGTGCCACAAGCCCCAGCCCGGGCACCTGGACAAGGGGGGCTTGGCTCTGGGGCAGGCTGGCTGTGGTCCTTATTTTCTCTCTGTTGCTTTTTGAAGTGAACCGTTTGTGGAAAACCTGCAGAGTGATTTGCCAGACCACCAAGTGCCCTGTTCCACGCCAGGCGCTGCCCTGCCAGCCCCGGCCAGCGTGGCTCTGGTCAGGAATGATGGGGGTGTGTCGGGCAGCGTTTCTTGTCTGAACCAAATGTCCCTTTGATGCCAACACAATGTCCCACTCACTTTATTCCTGTGTTATCAAGAAAATGGGGCATTTTGAACTTTCTCAAGGTAATGGCACCACGTGAACAGATGGGGGTGGATCCCCAAGAGGCTGGCCCAAGCACCCTGCACCCCATGGGCTCAGGCTTAGTGCTGGGCCACACTGGCCTGCTCCAAGCCAGGCCTGCTGGGCCCAGGCACTCTTGGCCACCATTCAGCTGGCCAAGAGCTCATGAGGAACTACACTGTGCCTGGCCCGGAGCCTGACTCTGGGTGCCACCCCCTGGGGTCAGGGGGGCTGTGGGGCCTGCCTCTCCTGGCTGCAGCAGTCAAGGACAGCAGGCTTCCTGCTCCTGTCACCTCCCTGCTTCCCAGGGGCCAGCACAGCCCACCTGGCCTCTCAAGGACCAGGGGTCAGGGGCACGGCCTCGACCAGAAGGCCAGACCCCTCAGGCCGCCAGCATGTAGGGTTTCCTTCCCTCCCTGCTCAGATCCTCAGCAGTCACCTTGCCGAGCCCTCTGGAAAAGGCCATCCAGATGCCACACTGGTCAGTGTAACCCATGGTTGCCGTGGCAACCTACCACAGGATAGCTCCCCGGCTATGGCCAGTGCCGCGCACAGTCCTCTTAATTAAAGCCTCTTAATTAAAGCCTGCCCAGGGCTGCTGTCCTTTCAGTGCTGTGGAGGAGGGGACCTGGGGTCTGGGGGGGTCTGCTGCTGGCTAGGAAGTCGCCCCCCCCCTCACCGTCCTCCAGGCCCAGAGTGCAGTACGGGCTTCCGCCTCAGGAAGGGCTAGGGCCAAAGGGAGTACCAGCATGGCCATCCTGGACCCAGGATGGGTCTAACCCAGGCTAGGAAGGTGGGGAGTCACCTGGCGAGGCACCCGCCCTCCACCTATCAGGACACCCGGTTCTGCTCCACCCTCTAGGCAGCACCCGGCCCCAGCAGGGCACCCATCCTGCACCTCTTCCTCCGAAGGTGGCGCATCTTCTGCACATACAGCCACAGCTCCAGGCCCACGGGCAGCAGCAGGGGACGGGGGTGGGGCGTGCCGTACACCACCTTGCACACTGCTTTCTCGGCCAAACTCAGGGCCACAGGCTGTCCCTCCACGCTGGGAGCGGGCATGGCAGGGACCTGCACCTCTCTCCCACCAGCTGTGGGCCCCAGGGATGGACCAACTTGGGGTTGACCTGTTCCCCCACACCTCCAGGGTGGTCCAGGGCAAAGGTTCAGCGGCCTCTGCTCCAGGAGGAGCAAAGAGGTGCCCTGGGGCCTCTTTCCCTGGGTCCTGATGTGGATCAAGGGATCAAGGGCAGCTCAGAGGCAGGATGAGCACAAACAGGAGGGGCGGGGAGTAGGAGCTAATCCTCCTCCACCTCTTGGGGCTGGGAGGGAGTAGAGGGGCCAAACCCAGCTGCATTCGGGTGCAGTGTGCCCATCTGCCCAGTCAGCACCAGCTTCTCAGCAAACTGACTAGGGTCTGGCCCTGTGCCAGGGCCTGGGTCCTCCAGGAGCCTGGGGCTGCACATAGCGGGTGCTGGTCAGCGCTGGTGGATACAAGAGTGGGGACGGGCACTGCAGCCCCCAAGAACAGACCTGTTCCCATCTGATGTGTACAGAGGCTGGCAGATGGTCTAGCTCTCCCACCTGGAATGCCTGCCAGCTGCCAGGACGGCCCGGCTGAGGGCTGGGCAGGGTCAGCACTTGGCCTTTCCTGTTCTCTGCAGGACCTGGCGTCTAGCCTGCTCCCACCTGACCCCAGCCTGGCCCAGTCTGCAGGCTCAACTGACATAGAACACAGAGTCCTCAGCCTTGCCCAACTGTCTAAGGTAAGCTCTGGGCCCTAGGTCTAGCCAAGGTGTAGGGCCACTTGGGGCATGGGGAGGCTGTCCCTAAGTCAGTGGGGGCTCTCCTAGCCCTCCCAAGATCCTGGTTGTCCTCAGTCCCCCAGCCCTGACCCTGTAAGGAGGCAACAGTGTGACCCTTCCTGGGCAAAGGAACTCCCCAGAGTGTAGAGGAGGTACCAGCATCCAGCTTGGACAGAGGGTCACAGGGGCTCAGAGAAGGTCTCGAATCCAGGGCCCCGCAGGGCAGGGCACTGATGGAAGACCAAAGCCTCATAAGGGCCTCCCAGCTGGCTCACCACTGGGTGCTGCCTCACCTGGGACCCTAGGACTACCCGTGAAGCTCCCCACTGCTGTTTGAGGTCAGAGGTCTCCTGAGGTTGAGCAGAATGGACCCAGGGATGGGAAGGAGGGAGGCACAGCTGGGGTCAGAGGGAGCTGGACAGTGGGCCTGGGGGCTCGGCTCCCTGAGAGGATCTGGTGGTCTGAGCAGAATCAGGAACCTCAGGATGGCAGGGAGGGTTTCCAGGGCCTGGGCACTACTCTTCCAGCCACTGACCACCTTACCCCAGGACGCTTGGCTAAGGCAGGCAGGGCAGGATCATCTCCTTGGTCAGTACCTGTTGACATGCCGAACCCAGGTTCTGCACCCTCACGTCAACCGCAGACCCCCTGGGCTCCCAGGCCCTCCATCATGCCTGTGGGCTGCCCTCTCCTGCCCTCTTGGGGACCATGCCAGCCTGGTAGGGACAACTTCCTCACTCAGGAAGAAGATCCTAGATCCTCTGTCCCTCCACACCACCTCTGCAGGCTGTGAGATATTGCCTGTCAGTCTGTCCAGGGCCCATGTGCACTGGGGACCCCGAGGGCTGCAGCCACCCTGGGCAGACAGAGGCCAAGCTATCTGGAGCTCCAGAAGGTCTGTCCGCCCCAAGGTCTACCTGACATCCCACTCTCAGGGTTAGAAATCAGAGATGGAGGGTTCCCCAGGGCTGTGGGCTTAGCGCCCCCCACTGGCCACCCCTATCCTGAGATAGGTAGCCTTCCCACCTGGGATTTGACACCTGGAAGCAGATGCACTGCTTAATTAATAAGCAACATTCTCCACCTCCCAGGAGGAGAAAGACCCTCCCCAGCGCCTGGGGACCAGCCCCACTTTGTCCTCCCCTACACAATGGCCCTGGCCTGATCCTCTTCAACAGGACCAGGATGGCCACCCAGCACCTCTCCACTGAATGAGGCTGACCAATGCCACACCACAGCACCCAGGAGGTGGGCTACCCTCTGTCAAGATCCCACCAGTGCCTGTTGGTGACCTGGTTAGTGAAGTGGTGACCAGCTCCCTTGTGGCCAGCTGGCTGACGTGGCGACCATATCCTGCCCAAGCCCTCTGGCCTGGCCTTAGTACCCAATGCAGCATGCTGGGAGAAGCCATCAGCCCATGGCCCCACCTGAAGCACATCACCCTGCTTGCCAGCCACCATTTCTGATGGTGCCCCGTCAGGCCTCCTGACACAACTGTTAGCCTCCATCAGACTCTAAGACGTCCTCTGGTGTCCACTACCAGGCTGGCTCCTTATCCAGTGTCCAGCTCCTACCATGCGCAGCCCTGGGCCCCTCAGCCCTGCTGTCCACTACCTGAATCCTTACAGGCCCCTCCCTCCAGGACTGTTACCCATACCCTGGGCCAATGCTTGCTCACAACTGGCCCCAAATCCCGGCCTCCTGTCCAGCCACCCCTGGAGAGAAACTACAATGACTCCCCTTTAACAGCCAAGGGGGTGGGGAGAGAGCAGGGGGCAGGGAGGGCTGGGGAGCTTGGGAGGAGTGGGGAACTGCTGGAGAGGAAGTGGACATGAGGGCCACCTCGCTGTAGGAGAGACCTGAGGTCAGCTCACAGGGATTCCAAGGGCAGTCATTCCTTAGGGCCCTGTAGGGGACACTGCCTGGGGAGAGGGCATGGGGTGAGCGGTGGGGGTGGCCTGCCCCACACCAGAGAATGCTCCATAAGGGTGCCCGTGGCAGCTGCCCGGGTGCACTCTAACAGGGGCACCCCAAGGTGGGTTCCCTGATGCCCCTCTCCTTCCCAGCCCCAGATGGGAGGCAGGAGAGAAACACCCAAGTCCCCCTCTTGTGGGGCTTCCCAGCCACTTGCCCATCCCCCCAGGCCCATGCTTGGCTATGTGGGGTCTCCCAGAGTAAGGCCCTGAACTGCATGGGGCCCATCCTGCCCACAGACAGTCCTTATCAGTTCTTCCCCTCGCTGGCAGAGGACCCAGAGCAGATGCCACCCTGCACATCCCCCACTCCTGGGAGCCCTGGGGAAGGTCTGAAGGCAGGTCTCCAGCACTGGCTGCCAGCAAACCTGTCCTCAAGCCCCTCCACCCATGGGGGCCAGGAGACAGACCGGGGGTGAGGGGGGCCGTGTCTCTGAGCAGTACACAGGGAAGAACAGGCACTGGAGTGGGAGGGGACACTGGCCACCAAAGCCTCTTTGGAGTGCCCAACAAAGGCTCGCTAGTATCAGACTTCTCTGGGCCAGGCCTCTAGCAGGAGCTTCCTAAGTGTCAGAGATGGTCAGAGGAAAACAAGACAGCCATCCCTCAGTCAGGGGCCAGTCTGCAGGGCCACTGCAGGGAGCTGGGCATGCCTCTGGGCAGCCCTTGCCCAGCACTCAGGCCCACCCAGCCCAGCCTGAGGCTGAATGAACTGGCAGCACCCTGCCCACTTGGGGGACCATGTGCCCGCAGCCAGGCCCAGTGTACCACTTTGAGGAACACCCTTGACAGGCCAGGAGTCTCCAGGCAGGCACATGGGCAGGGGAAGGGCCACCCTGTCATCCCCGGTGGGCATAGGCACTGTGCCCAGGCGGCTGGATCACATGTGAATCCGCCAGGAGGCAGGTGCCTTTTAGACAGGCACACACCCACCTGGCTGGCTGGCTCCAGCCCCTGGTCCTGCTGGCCTGGGACTGGGGGGGTGACCAGGGGGGACAGGGCCCCATCCATGACAGCGGGTCTCTGGCCATGCCACCCCCTGCGCCGGGTGTGGGTGTGTGTGTGGCAGCGCCAGCCTGGAGAGGAGCTGCGGGCAGTGGCCCCCGGCCGTGCTGGACATGCAGCTGCTGGCAGAGCGGTGGAGGCGCCCGTCCCGCGGTCGCCGGGCAATGGGAGGGGGCTGCAGGCAGAGGGCCGCCGCGGCGCCCACCGCAGCCCGCGCGGCGGAGGAGGCGCGTCCCCGGCCACGTCGCGCGCCGCCGCGCCTTTGTTCCCGCGGCCGCCTCCCGCCCGCCACCCGCGCCGCCCCCGCCCCGGCCCGCGTCCCACCTGGAGTAGAGGCGCCGGGCGGCCGGGCCCGGGAGCTCGTCGGCCGCGGGCGGGGCGGGGGCCGCCATGGTCGGGAGCGGGAGGCCGCCGGTCCGCGTCCGCGCCCGCGGGAGGCGCCGAGGAAGTGATGTGCGCGGGGCGCCGCCGCCCCTCCCGCCGCGAGCTGTGATGTCACCGCCGCCCGCGCGCTGGGGAGGGGAGGGGAGGGGGCGCCCACCGGCCACGGCCGCGCCGCCCGCTAGGGGCGGGAAGCTGGGGGGCTGGCAGGCCCGCGGGCCACCCCTGCAGGGGTCCAGCGACCGGCCTGCGCCGGGCAGGGCTGCCTGTGACCGGCGCGGCTGCGGTGGTTACCCTCGGGCGCCTTGTCTTGGGCTGAGGAGCCAGCTTTTCCTTGCCTCTCGGCCTCGTCCTCCTCTGCTCCTCCCGTCCAGCCCCTGGCGGTGGGGTGCAGGGCCATGGGGATGCCTGTCTGCCTGCTTTGGGGTGCTGAGGAGGAACACTCTGGCCTGGCAGAGGAGTTGGTGGCACCCTTGCAAGCCCTCACCTCCCTGAAGTTGTGCTCTGGGGACCTCTTGCTGCCCCTTCCAGCCTTGGTCTCCTTGGAGAAGGGGCAGGGAGGGCAGCTGGGGAGCCCACCCAGGGTCCCAGAACCTGTGCTTTGCTGCTGCCTCCTTCCTCTGAAGCCCTGGGAGCAGAATGTGCTGCCCTCAGAGTCTTCCCCCAGCCAGCCTTGGGCACCAATGGGCGACCCAGATTGGTGGTGGGCATCCAGCCCCTGACCTCCTCCTGGGGCCCTTTCTCCTGCAAGGCTGCTCCCACAGGGCCCAGGGTGGCTGGGACCACCCAGGGCAGGCCGCCTGCTGGGGTCTCACCTTCTCACTGGTCCTATTTCTCCAGCCCCAGGCCCAGTCTTCCTGGTTCGTCGGGAGACTGCGAGCCCTGGCACTGTGGCTGTGACCCGTGATGGCAAGGGACAGTCCAGGGGTGGGAAGAGGCTGTGTCCATTCCTCAGGAGCTCCTCCCGGGAGAGCTGCCCAAGGTCAGAAAATGCCAAGGCCACCCCAGCCAGACCCCTGCAGAGCAGCCCATAGTGCAGTGGCTTCAGGCGCAGGGGATGTGACACAGACAGGAGATAAAAGGCTCTGGTGGCCCTGAGCGGGTTTGTTTTCCTGGGGAAGAGGCAGGCGGCAAGGAGAACAGGACCATCTGCGTCTGGAGCTGTGGCTGGACTCCCTCCTGCCTCGTCCCACAGGCCCTCCCCCAGAGACCGCAGGAGCCGGCAGGGCCTTGCTCCTGGCTCCACCAGGGCCTGGGTGCTCAGCAGGCTGGAGCCACCACTGGCTGAGACACCCCTCTTGCTCGCCACAGTCCCTGGGGGCTCCAGCCAAGAGCAATCTACCCTGGACTCCATGCCACCTCTTGTTCACAAGGGCATCATACAGCTGGGTCTGCCATGGGCCACCTGGGCCAGGCCTGCGCCCCACTGCTGCTGTCTTCCGGAGGCCTGGGGAGCTCTGAAAGGCCCTGTGGGTCCCCTGGTCAGCTGGGACCTGTGCTGAGGAGGCCTGCTAGTGTTATAGAGTGCCGAGCGAGGTAGCGTCACTGCTGGAAAGATGGTTCTTCCTCCTTAAGCAGGGAAGCAGGAGCCCCCAAGCTGGGAAAGCCAGGCTCATCGAGAGCTCCCAGGGCTTTGAGAGTGAGCTGCCCACACTGTTAGTATGAGCTGGGCTTGGGGCTGTCCCTGGTCCCACTTCTGTGCAGCCTGGCACAAGTTGTTTTCCTCTCTGAACCTCAGTTCTGTCACTGTGAATGTGGATGTATGAACTGCAGGAAGGACAAGGGAGCCTTGGGGCCGCATGTGCTTGTCACAGTGTCACCCCTGCAGCTGTTCCTGACTCAAGTGGGGGTACATGCCTCACCACACTACATAGAGGGGGGTCTTCTCCCATCCAGGGCTTGACTGTCTCCTGTCAAGAGAGCCCACAAGGGCCCCTCCAATTGGAATGGGACAAGGGGAAGCCCAGGTGATGGGCCCAACACACATTGCCACGTGGACAAGGAGGCCCCGGGAGCAGGTCTAGGGAGAAGGCACTCCCGTCCACTCTGCTGCCCCAGTGTTGTTCTCCCCTTCCCTGGCCGCTCTGTACACACCTGGACACTCACAACAGCCACTTGTAAAGTCCCCTGGTGGCTCTTGGTGCCAGTCAGGCAGACACCCCTGGAGGCCGCGAGCCACCCCTCCCATCCCTACTGGGCCTGAAAGGGCGTCAGAGGGAAGAGAAGCAGTTTCCCATTCTGGACGTATCCCCCTAGCTCCGACCAGCAGCTCAGGGAGAGGGAGGGAGGACGGGCCTCTGGAACACCCCTGTGCAGGGCCAGGGAGCTGGCCCGGGGAGCTGGCCGAGCACTGCCTTCAGAGCACCACACCCAGGGCATGCTTGTGGTGGTCATCACCAGCCCTCCGCCTGGAGCCATGTGCCACGTGCCTGCCCGTAATCACCCGGAGCTCTTGGCATGTGCCACGTCATCCTGCTTGACAGATGAGACAGCAGTGTCATCCAAGCTCACCTGGCTGGGCTGTGGGCACTGAAGCCAAGCTTTGCTTTCCTGGCCCTAAACTTCAGCCCGTGTTACACTTGTCACTCTGAGCCAGCCTCATGGAGGTGACAGCAGGATGGTGGAGGGCTGAGCCCTGGGAGTGAGGAGGCCCGGGCTCAGGAGTTGCAGAGATCAAGGGTGGTGTGGGTCCCTCATGAGCTCCAGCCAGGGAACCCAGCACCTGGTTCTCTCCAGGACCCCCTGGAGGTTCACCAGGGCAGGGACAGATTGGTGGTGGGCATCCAGCCCTGTCCTCCTCCTGGGGCCCCTTCTCCTGCAAAGCTGCTCCCACAGGGCCCAGGGTGGCTGGGACCATCTCAGGTGCCACCAGCAGGCATCCAGCCAACCCAGATCTGATGACTCCGGCAATCTCTTCTGTGGACTCCAAACTGGGGAGGGGAGAGGAGGACCAGGAGTGGGGGAGAGCATGTCAAGTATGCATGCTCAAGTGAAGAGAACATTGTTTTACTACTGTTTCCAAATAATCTTGTTAGCCTGGGAAAGGGCTCCTCCTTCTCATGGATGTGAGCCTGTGCCTGTCACAATGGCCTTGCCCATTGCTCTTTGTCTCCTTGGGGGGCCTTGGAGTTCCTAGGAAGTGGGGGCTGCAGGTGAGTGGAGGGTCCCATGCATGTCCACAGGGATCCCAGAAGGAAACAGTCTGCCCCACCCACGAGGGCTCATGCTCCTCATTGGGTGACACATGCCACCCATACGACTGTGAGACACCTGGCCATGCAGCATTCTTGGGGCACTGGCTGGCAGCCATAAGCTTTGTCACCAGGTGTGTCCCCAGGGCACACAGGAAGCAGGTGCATGCTTGTACACCCCAGGAGCCATCTGTGGGGCTCCTCCTGGGCCTGCCTCTGTCTGTGCCTTGCTGGGCCTGGCAGACGTGTGGCCTGTGAGTGTCAGGGAGACACACATACCCGGGAGAGTCTCTGTGGGCTCCAGGCTCCCCAGGGCAGCTCTAGGCACCCCCAGCCTTGGGTATATGTGGGTGAGGGTCTTCTAACATCAGCCTAAAGCCAACAGAATTAGGACGGTCTACCTGCCACCCAGCATGACCGGCACAGCCCCTCCAAAACGGAAAGCAGTAGGTTTTCCCTCTGAGGAGTGGTCAGCCTACCCGGGTGCTGCCTGTTCCAGGAGTGGCTATTGTGGGGCTCGTGCAGAACCCTCTGGAAGACATGGTGAATGCCTTCCTTTTCTACTTTTCACACTGTAAGTGTTCTCCTAGATGTCACAGCCATGCTTGAGTATTTGTGTCCCTGCAAGATCTATGCATTGGGACCTCAGCCTCCGTGTGGAGGCAGTAAAAAGAGGGGCCTTAGAGTGGCAACTGAGTCATAAGGCACCACCCTCGCTGATGGGATCAGCAAGAGAGAATCAACCAGGCCCTCTTCTGCCTCTTGCCGGGCTGCCTTCCACCACGTGAGGACACAGGGAGAAGGCCCAATCTGGCAGCATAGAGTAACTCTCTCTAGACCCAAAATCTGCCTGTACCTGGAACTTGGATTTTACAGCCTCCAGAACTGTGAGAAATTAATTTGTTACATGTAAATTACCAGGTCTCAGGTATTTTGTTATACCAGCACAAATGGACTAAGGCACATTTCTAAGGGTTCTTCAAGAACATATGGGGAGGGGCCGTTTTCCACCCATCCTGTGGGTGTGCTCCAACATCCAATCCACTGGGGACACTCCACTGCTTCCTTTCCCCTCTGTCAGGGCAGAACACCTGTAGGATCCAGGTGGGCAGGGACCACCCAGAGCCGCAGCTCCAGGCACATGCTATGAATGCAGAGGGCCTCTCTCAGTTTGGACCCTGCTCATCTGGAACATGGGGAAATCACATCCCTGAGACTCCTGGGCTCAGCAAGAGTGCCACAGGGGGCACGGTAAGTTCCTATCATGGCGTGAAGGTGGCCCAGGGTTTCTGTCTCCCTTGAGTCAAGACCAGATGGTTGGAAGCCCTGGCTGCATCACTGTGTGGGACCTGGCAGGGCTATGACAACGTGGAAAGGAGGTCCTGGCCTGGCCATCAGAGAAAGGGACCAGCCAGGGTGCGGGTTTAAACCCAGCTCAGCTGCTCACGAGCTGGGGCTTTGTCTGGGCCTCTCCTGTCAGACTGGAACCTGGTGAATGAGGTCCTACCAACAAAGCCCTCGGCATGGACAGTGGTCACTGTGAAGCCTGTGCTGACCCCTCCAACCATCCTGAGCTGCATGTTCCTGCCTGGCCTGGGGCTCTGGGCAGGTGGTCCTGGATCTCCCCAGAGCATGGGGCTCATCTGTGGGCCTGGAAGCTTGCTCGCCCTCATTTGGCACAAGACTGGAGGGATCCCAGGAACCTCCAGGGCCAACAGGCTGGAGGACAGGAGCTGCCTGCTGGCCAGGAGCCCAGAGAAGTGACAGGAACAAGAGCAAGCAGCAGGGCCTGGCCCTCCTGGACTGCCCTTCCCCGGCCTCTCTCCCCTGGCCTGACCAGTGGCTACAGGCCAGCTCCTCTG